ATTTATAATATATAGCTAATTATAATATTACGTAGATTAAAGGGTTAATATATTTAAAATAATAAAATTCATTTGCTTATATTGATCACAGAGGTAAAATTAACAGACGTACATTATAGTTATATGTATTTTATAATAATATTAATTATTCACTTTATTTATCACATATATATTTATTATATTTATTAATATTATTACAAAATAATATAGATTGTAATTAAAATAATTCAATACTATTTCGAAATTATATTAACAAATATAACAGATTGTAAGTATGCAATGAATCAACTAAATAACATTTTGCAATAGTAAAAGTCTATATTGTAATAATTTTAATAATTGTTACAAACAATTTATAATATTCGTACAGTAATCAATGTTAATTCATCGTGCACGCGACAATTCGTCAATTCTGATTGAATGCTAATTTTAACGTGCTGTTTAAATGAACTGTCACGCCATTTAACATAATCTCATCATTACAGGCCATGGTAAACGTAGCGCAGTGCATAACAATGCATATTTAGTCCCACCGAAAACACTGAATGAAATCCAACAGGGCGTACCGTCGCTCGCGAAAGACCAATTTATACTTTCTCGTTTGATTGGTCGACCATTGGTATCGAACAAATACAAGGAAAGATGGAACAGGCTTTTCAAAATCAAGGCCGGTTTCCCAGAAAATTGGGACAGTGACGACTTTAACGCTCATCTTGTCAGCAATGAATCTACCCGGTAAGAAAAGAAAAGAATATGTAAAGAGGTATGACTCGTCATTAGATTGCGGATCTCCATGAATATAACTACAATTCGATAAAAAAATTCAATAAAAATTAATTAATTGTAGATTTTTAAGAAATGTGTTTTCTATAAGGGTTTTTCAATAATTATTTTACTTACTAAATGTGTGCGTAATATTAATGTATACTATAATATCACATAATATTTAATATTAACCCAAGTTTCTAGATACTGCAATTTTTTGATATTTTGTATAAAGTAGTAGAATTTTAGAAAAGTAATTTCGATGAACAAATCCGATAATTTAAACGAAGTGTCGCGATAACGCAACGTAGAAATCTACAGTCTGTTCATTGTCAACTTATTTTACTTCACATCTGTATATTTTATGTGATAACCATATCCAATATTAATCACTTTTATAATAAAAAAGTTAGAAAATTTTAACAGTAAAAATTAAATTGAAAGCAGTGGAAATATAAATTTTCATATGAATAAAAATTTCATCAAAGATTTTCATAATTGATAACATAATTATAATATACATCTAAGCTAAAGATTACTGGTGAATTACAATTATTGTAACATGCAGAAATTGTTATTTGCACTCGCTATGATTTATCTTATTGGTATAATGATTACAGGGATCAAAATAATAACGAAGATCTGACCCAAGGTAAAAGGAAGCATAGCAACAACGTGCAGGACATGACGGGAAATATCAACGACGAGGGAAAGGAAATTCCGGAAATATTGCTGATATCGAATAACGAGGACAATCAACATGGCAGGAAACCACAGAACGTAGAACTGTTCAAATTTCTGGTGAATTGATACGCTATTATGCATTTCTGTAATATGCAGAATAATCCTGCAGTAATTGACTAAAGGATGATTCCACGCGCGACAACGAAAAGAAAAAGTAGATTCTTTTTTTCATTTAAAGATTTATTTTTTGAGAAAATCAAGAATGAAAATTTATCAAGCATATCTTTCGAACAAAAGTCGTATCCGTGCAATGTAATAATTTTCGTTATTTTACATTTTCCTTGATATATGAATGTTACTTTGAACCTGGTCTGAACTATTATGAATTAAATAATTTTTCAGCTGTGACCTTGAATATTGCAAGAATTTTTCGAGAATTTAAAATTTGTCAAATATTACACATTACACTTGGGAAATTCAAGATGACACTTGTATCTCGAGAAAGAAGCAAAATAAAAAAATTATTATTAATTACGCTGAATAATATCATACAACTTTTGCTTCAAATAATATAAATAATTTGTGGATAATTTAATAGTGAAAAATGTAGAACAAAATTTTTCTGTCTTCAAGAAAATAGAGCTTGAATGAGTTGAACGTAGTTGATAAATTTTGAAACTTGATTTTCTCGAAAATAAAGCCTTAAATGAAATAATTTTATTCTTTTCTTTCGACTCAATTTTTCGCGTATATAATCGTCTCTCGATATGGAGAATCTAATATAAAATATAATTATAATATAAAATTACAATATAAGATTATACGCACTACATGTATTATATTATACATAATTATTTTTATTTTCAGAGTGATACGAATGCTGATTTCGAATAAAAGAACCGAAAATTGCTGTAAAACATAATGTAAATTATAAATTGTCACAGCTGTATTCTAACTGAACTAATAAGAGTATCGTTTAAATTAATTTACTAGAAATTCTGTTTCTCGAATAAAGATTAACTGACTGTCGTTTATTCAGTTTAAGATGCAAACCTGAATTTTGCCTTCTAAAGAAGTATAACAAAATACCAATCATCGTCGCAATATAAGCAAGAATAATTTTCTCTGCTCAACAATAAATAAATATCTCAATTCAAACTGCAATAGAGCGAACGAATAAATGTTTCCAGGTTTCAAATTTTAGAACATCTCTGTAATAATTAATACTCTTATTATTACATTAAATTTTCAGTTACACAAACACTTTGTAATAATTTTAATTTATCGTTGGTATCAAATACAATGTTTGTAAGAAATAGAAATAACAATAAATCGAATAAATAGTGATAATAAACCTGTTTGTTTCGTAATATTTCTCTTTCTGGTTATTGTAAAATAATAACACTGTAAAATTTAGGTGTGAAATAACGAGAAGCTAAAAAAACAACGAATCCGATAAACAAAATTGATAAAAATCTTCCATTAGTTACAAACTTATATTGATTAATTGGTACTGCAGTAACTACACACATTTGTCATTACATTTTTCCCAAAATAGTTTAACAGTTTAACATATTAGGATATTAATTACGAGATAATCTATCATTTACGAACTTCGTGTTGAAATTTGTGATAAATTAATTCGTAATAAATGTTGGAAATAGCAAATTGCGTGAAAGAATAATTATTATAAATGAATCATTTGATACAATTCTTTTATTTTCTGGTAAAACAATATCAGTATATTCTACAAATAAAAATAAGAGATAAATGTCATTTATAGATAGATAAGCAAAAATACATGGTAAAAAACATAATTAATTAGTTAATATATAAACATAGATATTAATAATTTGAATAATATATTCCAGAGATATTAAATTGATAAATAATTAAAGATTTTTGAAAAATCATTATATTAAAATTTAAAAGAAATAGATTTACACAGTATTCAATTTTCTTTCATTATAATTGCGTCCACTGTAGGGTTAATAATATTAAGCCCTATTACAATATTAAATAATATGTACAAACAGATTAAATATATATATGTATATTTATTATTATGCTTCATCGAAAAAAAACCAATTCATTGTTGAATTAGAATACGCTAGCATTGTTTTATCGAGAATAATATCGTACAAAATAACAAAAATAAACAAACTAAAATTTTCAAAATATGTGTAAACATGTAAATTCTAAATTACATAGTATCATCGAATGTTAACATAATTTTAATATGAACCTGTTATAATCATAAAACATCAAAGTTTAAATATCATGTCGCTTAATTATTTTAAACAAATTTAAACAATAGATTATTTGTTTGTTATACTTATACGATAAGTGTTAAACTAAACTTGAAATTATTAAACGAACAGCAACGGCTATTGAACTAAAATTGAAAGTCTACTTGAAAGTGTTACATAAAATATTATATTTTACATCGAAAATTGAAATTCGTTAAATAAGATAAACAAGATATTTTAAGGAATAACATTTTATTCATTCTACTTTATGCTTACATACAATTCAGATATAGCATTAACAATTGTACTTACTTCATCATGGAAACAAAGATCCGCGAATATATAATTACACAGAAATAATCGAGTACAATAGTTTCTATTTATTACTTTACTTGAATGCAAAGGGAACTGAAACATAACATGCTACGTTATTAACGATCATTAAACAGAACTGTACCTACAGAATCTGAGTAGCATAACAGAGACATTATAAAAATTCTAATAAAAACAACGACCGAGGTATTTCATGAAAATATCTTTATTCGTCGGTTTCACATATTTTTTTCTGTTCTAATATTCTTCAAATTCTTCGTTTCGAATTCAACGTGCAACAGAAACGTCTATCCGTTTATTTGTTATTAAGCTCCACGTCCGGCTGATGAAGGCGATGATGCGACGTCAACTGCAATTATTAATCGAATCGTTAGCTTGTACGACTACTTGAGTTCCTTAACTTAACTCGGGCGAAACGAAACACAAAAACGAATGAACGACGCTTTTATAACACCCTCCGTCCTGGCAATTCACTTTCTAATGAGCTTGATTTATATAATACACAAATAAATAACATGGTAGGGAGTTCTAATTTAAATATTTTGTTATTCACACATTATTGTTTCAATAGGACATGGGAATTACGTGTAGATTATTATGTAAAATTATTAACGGTAATTATAGTGCCAATTGCATATTAAATAGTGAAAGAAATATTGCCAACGCGTTGTCGAGTAATAGATTTTCGGATAACGAGGGTTTTAAGGGTGTGAAATGTATCACGAAATTGCTTATTGCATTACATTATTAAATGAACATTATCGTGAAATTTTTCTTGTGCTTCATTTTAGTATGTTTTCTAATTTGTGATTTTGGATCACTTGCATGTAGATTTTATTATACGTACGTGTATTACATGTTTATATAAGCATATATTAATACATATTGCATTATATATTGCTATAAATATTTCGGATTTGTAAAAATAAGATAAATATCTCTCGTCGACAGAAAAAAACATTTGATCGACTATTCAATTCTAAAATTTTCAATTTCATTCGATTTTACTTTTAACTTCTATTACAAAAAAATGTAACAACGCAAAACAAAACGAAACTAAAAATTGAACTAAATTTAATGAATTTTGTGATTTAGTGATTTAAATAAATTGCCACAGTCATCTATAACTTAACGATACTTGTGATTAAATAATGTAAATAAGTATGCAAATAAATGAATATTATAATATTATAATAAATAAATATGTGAATATAAAAATATTATAAAATATATTATATAATATATAAAATAATTATAGCATAATCATATGAATATACAATATTGTAAAATGAAAAACACGCTTTCATTGCAGTATGATATTTCATAAGAATTAAATATTCCAATTCACAGAGGCGTATATTTCACTTAATGATCAACGTGTTAAATTTGTTATTCATATTCAATAACGCGAACGAAGAGCTTTTCAAATTTAAAGGGAAGAAAGAATGGCTGCCAACGGAAATAACAATGAGGTCTAAGGTAAGAGCTTGATACCTTGATCTAATCCCAAATCTAATTAGCATACAAGACCGGTATGGGCCGGCGTGCTAGTTACAAAAGAAAGTCAAAGAACGGTAACTTTTTAATGAAGCCTTGCATAACGATAGAACTTGAAATACTTAAGTTGCTGATAGGTGGAAGTATAGGTGTACAGTTTTGCAAGAGGAGATGAAACGTTCAATGTTTAACGAAGTTCCGCGCCTCGATGGTGTAATGCCATAGTTATTAATGATTCTATTTCTGTCATTATTAATCATTTTATCGGATAATTAATAACAGATTAAGATACTCTCTAATGTAATTAAATGAACCAGTTAAATAAAATTACATTTATTATTGCATTATTTCAAAAAATACTTGATTATTGAGTTTGTCGAACAAAATTATATCGTTTCTCTTACAGCCACAATTAGATCTCGAGATAATCGATTTTTTTAATGGAACTCGCGCGAGAAATCTTTTTGTAAGTGTCCATATGATGATTATTAGATATGTGTGAATTTATAGGAAGAAATTATAATTTATATTATTGAAAATGAACTTTTCAATGAAATATTTCTATCAGTGGATTCCTGTATTTTTTTTTTTTTTTTTATTATTATTGTATGAACCTCTTAATTATAATGTTAATGAAAATAAAAAAAAAACTCATCAATCGATAGATATAGAGCATAAATTTCTATTTTAAAAAATACCAATAATCTCACGAAAAATGAAATTATGATGAAAGAAAGCTATTTCCACCGATAAGTGTGTTTTGAAACAGTGCAACTTTGTAGAAACTGATTCGTCCAACGTTAAGTGAAACAAATGTTCAACTGATTTGGCCAATTAAGTAATCGTAATTCCATCACGCATTTCGAATCTCGATAAGGTTCATTTCTCATCGGGCGAGTAAGTGTTCTACCTAATGTAATAGACGCCTCTATTCATTCGTTTTTTCGTCTCCCGTGAAATCAAATATTTGTATACCCATTGTCGAACGATGAAGGATAGCATGGAAGGATCGAATCTCGTGGAATCCTGTCTACGTGTCTGAGAAAAAGGTGTCTCCTCTTGACCCTCGAACTTTTTCTCGGCAATGACGAACTCGTTAGGCAAACGCAGAGCTTCCATTTCTTCGTGTTTGTCGCTGGTAGCCGTGTCTACTTGATTCTCTTGGGGTACGTTTCCCCGTGCATATGGATCGAACCTCTTACCGTGGCCACCGAAACACGAATGTCCAAACGCGGAACAACCACCTGTCGAGAGAAAAGCGAAGTTAATTTCAAATTGTAAAATTTAATATACAGCCAATCACGAAAGTCTTTGTACACTTAACATATGTACATTTGGAGAAATGAAGTTTATATTTATAAAATTTAATATACAGTTAGGCGTATATATATTTTGCAACTGTTATATTATTTTATATATGCAGTAGTATATTATATATTATTATGTATTAATACAATATTAATATAATATGTATATAAAATAATATATTATTATATTAATATTAGTATAATATTAATACAGTACATATACAATATAATAGATTATTGTATATACAGTTGTATTACAGTAATATATAATTATAAATGAAAGTTAAAAAATGTTGCTCACAAGAGTGAGCTCAAACATTTACCATAGAATATTTACAAAACTGTGATTGTACTGACACACTTTGAAACTAATTTAAAAATATTATACATGAAAATTATAAGATATTCGTTACAAATATACATTTGATAAAAGAAATTAGTATATAATGAATAGCCATAAATAGCCATCTTAAATATGTAACGAATGTTAAGGGTTATTAAATTGAATTATTATTAAATGTTATAAATCAAGTAAAATTATATTAAATATTCTGAAAATAAATAATTTAAAATACCAGGTTGTTATGGTCTCCAATGTTCAATACCAATTAGGAGTTAAATACGATCGTACAACGATCGTTCAAAATTTAATTAAATTGAATTAAAAAATTTATCATTAATTATTACGAATTAAATTATGACTATGGTCTGCAATATCCAATGATGCATGAATATTGGAGCTTATTAATCGCCGCTGTTTAAATAATCTTTCGATCTCTACAAAGTACTATTTAACAGCTACTTATATTTTTAGATTTGTTATAAACTTGACTGATATATAATAATAATAATTAAATCTCGCTTCGTTCGAATATTTTTGTGAGCAATTGTACATGCGCAAGTTTTAAATATTTAAAAAAAAATTTATGAATTTTAAGCATTTTACAGATACTGATTTGTTCATTAGTTAGCATTCTGAAAAATGACAATGTTTCTTATATTTATTATATAATTACATGTATTATTGTTATATATTCCTTATACATCTATGTATCATCTATCTATAGGTTTTCGTAAGAAAACATTTTATTTATATATTCTTTTAAATAAATGTAAAGAATATTATCAGCAGCATTTTATAAATCCAGATTCAACTTTAACCAACAAATTAATTAAGATCCATAAAACGTTCAATACTCTTTGTCTTCTGTTTGAAATGGTGTGAGTGTTTCAGCTACGTGAAAAGAAATGAAAATAATTAAATCAGAAAAAATCTTTTGTAACAAAACACAATTTGCTGTTAAATGAAAGATTTCCATGTAAAAAGAAACAAATGTCGCTTTCCAATAGAAGAAATATACGACTAATATTATTCCAATGTGTGTACACACACACACACACACACACACGTTTATTCGATTTAATAAAAATGTAGCCTCGATAGTCGATGTGAACCGCAACAGGCCATTTAACTATTGTTTCATTTGAAAATATTCCGTCGTATTTCACTATTTTATAACTATTCCTGAATGCGATATCCTAGTTTTCTACCTTTCGCTAACGAGAGCAAGCTTTTTACCGGACAAGGCATTAAATCATCGCGAAACATTGTCGAAAATATAATTTGTATCTTGGCTTATTTTAGAATATAAAAAAATGAACTCTGCGAATTTGACACAAGTCATATTTGCAAGTCAAAATAAAACACACGTCGTATAAAATTGCCAATTATTAGCAGATGGTGAACCGGGGCATGAAATCTAATTTCACTTTTAAATTTATTTTTCCTTTTTAATAGTATGAAGAAGAGAAAGTAAATGCTTTTAACGGATCAAAAACGGTATAGTATGAAATTACCGAAGTAAATTATAGAGAATATAAGAATCATTTAATATATATTGATATTATAATTGATATTTTTCACGAAAATCATGTGTTAAAAGATGATAAAATGTAAAAATAAGTAAAACTAAACTTACAAATATAAATGCAAGCTTGAACAGATTTTATCGTGGTATAAACTGAAATGGATTATTTCGATCAATCTCTTATTGTTATTTTAAAATAGTAAAATTTTAGAAATACTATTACTATCTATTAGAAATACTATACTATTACTATTACTAGAGATACTATCTAAAATACCATTTTGGAAATAGTATTTCTTGAATATGAGCAAACTACGTGATTAATTATAAGATGTACTAACTTGAAATATTGTAATCTATATACATATGAAGAAATTATAAAGATTGTTAAACAAATATTAATGACTTTTGGAAATCGACACGACTCTAAATAAATAAATAAAGCATCTTCATTTAGCGTGAAATTCGAATAAATTTCCAAATATATTCTTCCTTTAATTAATTCAATCATTCAAATAAAATAACAAATTTAATCTGAAGAGTAAAAATTTCATTCAAATACAAAATAGAAAGTAAGTAAGTAATTTTGTCTGCTAGCTAAATAATGAGTTTAGAAAAAAATCGCTAAAGTAAATCTTTAAACACCTAGTTAAGTGAGATAATAAATAATTCAATTTACCATTTTTTAAATATATTATTTCAATAACGCCCAAGCCTGTATAATGTACAGTAGAAACTTTTAGTTTCAAGTTAGAAGTAAAGAAATAAAGAAATAGAGAAACTTTTAAGTAAAGATGGTGTAATGGATTATTATTACACGCGATGATTTTAGGAAGAAAAAAAGAAGAATGAGGGGAGGAGAAGGAATAAATAACACGTTTCAAACCGGTAAGCAGAGGATTTTACGTAAAGAACGAGAGAACTGCTATTTTTAAATATAAATGAATAACGTAAATCAAAGCGGCCCCCATTCAAAGCGGAAATAGAAATAATAACAAATACCTAATAAAAGAAGCTGTGGGATGTAATCGAAAAGGAAGGAAAGGAATATTTTAATAAAAAGATTAATAAACTCTATGATATAAATAAAAGAATTATATAGATCCAGTTACAGAAGTCTGCGTGTATTTTATAAATTTCAAATATTTAAAAGAGAATAAGAAGGTGCATTTTATGGAGCTCAATTAATCTGTTAGGTAAAATTAATTCGATTCTAAAATATTGAAAATATCAGAAGAGCATATAAATAAATCGAAAATCTGTGTATATACAATTTCCATACTTACAGAATAACATTTATTCTGATAACATAATAATAATAATAACGATAACGCTTTATATGGATACGTTTTAATAAATTGTATAATAAACTTCGTAAGTTTCTGTTCCAATTTAGTTATGATTTTCTATAAACTGCACACTTTCTATAATTTTTTTATAAATTAACTATTTTATATAATATAAATACATAATATTATATCGTTTTTTTGAAGCTTAATTTCAAGACACTAATATAACAACTCAATAAATTGTCTTCTGTCATTAATTCTAACTATATTAAAGTAGAAAAGATTTAATTTTTGTAATTCATAAGTCGTGAAGTTTCAAATTCAATCCTGAACTCTAAAATTGACCGTTTTTTATAAATACTGGAATAGTCGTAAAAATAATATCATAAATTGAATGAACTAGATTTATTAGATTTATCAGATTTACTAGACTTATTAAAGTTATCCAGTTTTTTTAATACAAGAACGTTCTAAATATAAATCATTACAATTAAAATAAATAGATCTACACAATCGTGTCTCTCTGTCGATAAAAGTCGATACTAGTTTCCTGAATTTCTTCACCAATTGTAAGAAAAGGAAATCTGAAATCCGTCGTATTAACAATCGTAGTATCAAACCTTGCGACACTTTGAAGAGATCACGTATAATTAAAGTATGATTGCATAAAAATTTGACACGCACTGACCCGACACATAATATAATCTATCTACGTACTTCGAGTAATTATTTCATATGTACAATTAAACCAAAATAGAAACGTCAGCATCGGACGAATAGAATGGAATACCGCCATCCGCAATCTCATTTAAAAACGTATTCACTTATTCACAGATGTGTTCCATGGAGGGTTGCGAGGAAATAAAACGTAGGTCTTAAATAATTTAAAGCAGCAGGCACATGCGCGACGTGGATCGAAATCGAATCGCCTGAAAGCGAATTATAAATCGAGCGCGACAGGACGAGAGAGAAGAAAAAAACGGGGAAGGGAAGAAAAAAAGAACGTGTCACGCGAAAAAGAGCAAACCGAAAGTGAAACTAAAAAGAATGAAACGTGATTGGTCGTACGTGATCCGCGGAAGAAATGAAAAAAAAAAAGAGCAAGCCCTCCGATCAGACGGGAGGGTTGGAAACTTATTCACTCAATTATCTTAAATGAAAGCTTGCTCGCTAATCGATCGACGGTTTCGAGCTTCTTTTCCTCCGATCGGGGCCCTCGTTCGCGCGTTCTAAAAGCTTGGAAAGCTCTTTAAAGGGACTCGATCGCTCCGAGAGCTTGTTACCAGTGAGATTTTTTTCTTTTTTTTTTTTTT